AGAAATTATATGTAAAATATATAATTCTCATAAGCCTTCATAAAACTGTTTAGAACCATGTATCATTATTTTCAAACACACCGAGACGTGCTGACACGCGGTGAAATTCATGCCGGAAAAACTCTTGGATATCCCCCGGAACTGTCAAGTGTGGGACAAGGTCCCAGCGAAGACCTAAACAAAATAATAATGGTTAATGACAAAATCATATTGACCTGTACACATCAGCCTCATTAAAAAGAATACATGAATAACCTACCTGTGCAGTCGGCCAGACACTGCAGACAGTGGCCAGGTATTGGCCAAAAGCTATGCCTCCTTGCTTAGGTGTCTTGCTGGCTGTTAGGTTGTTGCTAGGGGCCATGACACAGACAGCATCAGAGATCCGAGGAAGAACAGCATTTTCATCCTCAGTCCTGAGCTGGTCAGCGCACGCCCCTGGAGTGGACATGACGCCAAAGGTGTGGCAATCCTCTGGCATCAGCACAATCCCATCTGCAAGGGAGCGTAGATGGGATGCTCCTACAAGAAGAACAAGCTGGAACAAAAGACAGGATTTTTTTTTCTTTTTTTCTTTTCTTGTATTATTAAATCAATTATGTCCATAAACACACGAAGCTTTAATTGCATTGGAACATACTTTGTTAAACACAGTAGGCTATATCACAGAGCACTGGACAAATGTAATTCATTTTCAGACATTAAACATGAGAAGATTATTGGACATTCTCAGTGTTTTGTGGTTAATTCTACCGTGGATCTGTTCATCGCTGCATGCGGAGGCAAACAGGCAGATGAGCTTTGTTTCCTGCTAGATTGAGTGCGACTCATTCATCCAAACTTTGCAAACATGGTCTAGATTTGTAGAGGACATATGTATGTTGTTCACTATAAAATGTGGTTGCTATAAATAAATGCATCTGTGCAGAGAGGGAAATATGAAAAAATGCTCCGTTCGACACCCCTCTCCCCTAAGTTACAACACATCACTCTCTGGCCGAGTCAGAGAACAATGGCGGCTAACTAGCCGTTACGCTAACTACCCGCTAAGTTACGCTAGCTTACTAAGATAAGCTAATGGCAAAACATTGCCACTGAATATTCCACAGTTTAAAAACAACCAGTGTGAGCTGACGCAACACCTAAAATACCGCACTCTCCTGCTGAGTCGAAGGATGCTGGGGGCTAAGTAAGTCCTACGCTAACTAGCCGCTTTGCTAACGAACGGCTACGCTAATGAAGTGCTACGGTATCTTACTGAGCTGAGCTAGTGACAATATATTCCAATTGATATAATGTAGGTACACACATAGTTTATATAGCATACAAACCCACATATAATGTCAGAAGCACAAGCAACATTCACAAAATGACTACGCTACAAGCAAGCTCCTACCACTTACCGTAATGACTGCCGTGTCCTTCGGTGAAGAGGGACAAACAATAACAACGCAGCGCCGGGGAACAAGGTGGAAGCTCCAAACGGAATGTCATTGGATAACATGATCCTTAGCTAGGCCCCGCTGCCTTGGTTACTGTTGCTATGTCTTTCAAGCATTCACTGCCAGCCATGCTCTATGCATAAGAACTACAGAGTATGCAGAAATATAGCATCGGTTTTAAAGTAAATATCAGAAATTTCTTGGAAAACTGTTCGGAGATATCAGAGACAAGCAGTCAAAAGATAATACATTTTTGACTTGAGCATCTTAGTCATAAAGCCATTATCAATGGAGCTCCGATACTATGATTCACCATGACAACAGGGGAGAAAACTTCCGGGAAAAAATACACAGCTACAGTCATAAAAAGAATCACTGACAGAGTAACTCATATTAAATGTAACATCACTTTCTTTTCATATTAGCCTTTGATAAAGTCATTAAATGTTGTTCAATGTTTTTAATAATTGGTGAAAATGAAATTTAAAAACAGACTCATGATTGCTCCTCACTTTGGTTTTATTCATATTCCACATATTAAACAAAGTAAAAGTTTACTCAGTCACTATTTCAGCTTGAGTAGCTTTTACCACCAACAGATGCTGATTACCACACATCTAGTCTCCTAACATCCTGTTGAGTAAGTGAACATGTGGAAAAAAGCACAGGTGGTGATCACTTCCACCTCCACCTCCACCACGTCTAACAAAAGGCAGAGAAACTGGTCCTGAGTCAGGTCGCTGGATGACCAGAGCCTCAGGTCATCACTCACCCCCAGGTCCCCAGGGCCTAGAGGCTATTAATGTTACCCATAATGTTGCAGCAAATTGGAAACACAGACATGGAAAGGGAGTTGTTGACAAAACTAAAAAAATAAATGACTACTGATTGTTGTTTTTGTTCGTTAAATTACAAGGTGTGGACATCACAAAATCAACGCCAAATTGAAAAATTTGAATCAAAATGGCCAACTTCCTGTTTGGAGTAGAGCATTGGTGGCAGATACTTTTTTGTGCGTCTGGGCAACTTACACATATGTACACATTTTCATCTTCCTCCTCTTATCTCACTATAATTGTCAGGGCAGTGTTTCCTGACTAGTCCAACAGGAAAACAGTTGTCACATCTGACTGATTATAGCTCTACCTCCTCTTAGAGACTTAAACAATTGCTTTTTTTTATTTATCTACAAGGACTGCAGATAGGGCAGAGGACAGTCTGCCACTTTTATTTGGAAACTGTTATTATTTCTTTTTATTTGCTGAACACCATATTCTATTATTCAGATAAAGACCCCAAAAGATATTTCTGTGTCCTGTGCTGGTTTAATTTCGCCAGACTACAACTGTTTTTGTAAATTGTGCGTGTGGTTGGATGATTATAAAGTAATAAATCATTTCAATTAAAAAAATTCTGTTGTGTTTTCAGTTACTATATTATATCACAAATATCCTTTAATTTTATTGAATTGTAAATGTATATGAATGATCAGTGGAATATCCCGAAATGAAATCCCTGAGAAATTACCTTCGCTTCTATATATAAAAAACAAAAAACAATTTTACAGTAGGCTCTCATTGTCTATTCTGAACACTATGATACTTAAGATACACACAGAGCCTCATGAAAAACTACTGTGTGTATACACATCAAGTATGTATATTCAAGCACTAAAATCTAATTGATCACTATGTAAAATATGCAGTGTTGCTGTAGTGTTGTGACTACATATTTACTATACAAGCAAGTAGTAAAATGTCTACATAATCACTATTTAAATGCCTGTGTAACGAAGCAGTAGTGTTTTAACAGCTCTTTCACTACTCTGCTTGGTTACTACTGGAAACACTACTGTTTTACTACAAAACTCTACTGGGGTGTCATGAGTAGTGTATAAACTACAGATTTACTACACAATTACTACAGGTGACTACACAGCCACTACTACATGAATAGATTTTATGTAGTAATTTAATAGCAGTTTTTCATGAGGGGGGCTCTCTAGCGCCACCTAGGCACACAAAAATGGCCGCTACGGCCCGTTGGAACATCATAGAAACATGAAACCAAAACTGCTGTGTTCATCTCATCAAGCCCTACAATTCTCGTGCTCACATCCCTGACCTAAATCCAACAGGAAGTGAGGTATTTGCCCTTTCACAGTAAGATTTCGCCTCAAAACTGCTCTTCCTAAAAAAACCATCTCCTCCTACACCATTTATCGTATCGGCTTCAAACTCACACACATTACAGATCAACTGGTGGTAATCAGATCATATTCATAACTTTTTCATTACTCGATTAGTTTGGATTTTATGGCCTCCTAAAGGTGAGATGTCAGAAAAACGTCCTAACGATCTTCGAAAACTGCCCCATAGGAAATGAATGGCAGCAGGGGGAAAAAGGGACCAATCTTAGGGCTTTTTCTAGCATTTACAGCGTCTCCATACTTTGTGCTACAGACTCCATTCCAACTCTCAAATGTTGCCACAGGTCTCATCTATTCACTCATCTTTTCATCTTTTTCATATCTTTTACCGTTTTTAATCTGTGCCTCTCAAAGTACCATGAGCAAATGTAGAGAAATTGTCAGTTTATAATGGGTGTGTATTGCACGGAATGCTGTGAGCTAGAGTGGAGAGGCTCTAAAAATCGTCTAAAACTTTTGTCTTTAACTCGCTGCCATGGCCACAATTTTCACTGTACAGNTTAATCTGTGCCTCTCAAAGTACCATGAGCAAATGTAGAGAAATTGTCAGTTTATAATGGGTGTGTATTGCACGGAATGCTGTGAGCTAGAGTGGAGAGGCTCTAAAAATCGTCTAAAACTTTTGTCTTTAACTCGCTGCCATGGCCACAATTTTCACTGTACAGACACAATTTATACCACAAAACGTAGGAAAATTTGTACAGATCACAGATATGTTGACATGGAATATCTCACATGTACACATTTTTGCTGAGTGGCTCCAAAGCGAAGGGAGCGCTGATTTTTTTCTCATTCACTCCCATGTAAACTCAGAGGAGAAATTTCTGGAAACAGCTGGGGTGCAACACATTTTAAACTCGCTCCGGTGACCACATTTTTGATTGTAGAAATATAAAACACGACACGTGTGTTCACGAGAAGTGGCTGTCTCTCACCATCATTTTATTTTCTTGATTGGACCAACAGTTTGGGTATGGGAAGAACTTGTTCGAGGAGTTAAAACCCATTATAAACAGCCTTTGCTGATCTGCTCTCATGAGTTCTGTGTTTGACTTACAAATCACGCGCTGACACCCATGACCTAATTCCAACAGGAAGTGAGCTATTTGCCCTTTCAAAGTAAGATTTCGCCTCAAACATGCTCTTAAAAAAACATCTCCTCCTACACTGTTTATTGTATCGGCTTTAAAGATGCACACATGCCACCTCAACTGCTGCTAAACAGATCTTCTGTATAACTTTAGCAACGGTTTGGGAATGGGAAGAACTTGTTGGAGGAGTTAAATCTCCACTAAAACAGGTCTCTTCTCTGTGTTCTGTCTCTGTCTGTCTCTGCTCTTCTGCCAGGTGCACATAATCTTTTGTCCTACTGAACTTCCACCACTAGGTGGCGCTATTATTAAGGAAAGTGCGTTTTGGCTCACAACTCCCATATAATTTGTTGCACATTCAAAAACCTTATATCCACGCGTTCAGTGAATTGTGCTGAATGTTGTGGTATAGGCCACGCCCATTTCCGCCTTCCTTTGTTTTCCGCAAATTTGCAAAATGTTGCAAACCTACTTTTTCGAACTCCTTCCAGGCAATTTCACCGATTGGCATGAAAATTTGCACACAGCATCTGTGGACCCTCCCGACAGAAAGTTATTAAAAGAATTTCAATAGTCCAAATAATACTTAAGTTAGTAAATAACAACTTCCTGCAGATTTAATTCTAAACAGGAAGTGCTGCATATCTTCACATTGGTGTATCCAAATGACATGAAACTCAGTTTACCACTTCCCCATGAGCCCCTGAGGCTCTGTGCAAAATTTCCAGTGATGACCACAAGGTGGCGCTCTTTAAATTGAAGTATTTTATATCTCAACATCGGTTGGGCGGATTAACACGAAACTTGGTATAATTATTGTCAATGCCCTCCTGAGAATATCTGACGAAGGACTTACCGATCCAACACTAGGTGGCGCTCTGGTGGCTGTCTAATTTAATATTTGGCACTGTGCCAACACCATAACACTCATGGAAATGAAATTGATAGGGGTGCTATAGACTGGCCCCTGTAACTCACACACCAAAAATGACCAGCAGGTGGCGCTATTTTCAATGCAAAAGCGTTTTTGGCTAATAACTCCCACATCATATGTCGCACATTGTTAAACCTTCTATTTACGTGTTCTCTGAATTCAGCTGAATTGTGTGGTGTAAGCCACGCCCACTTTTGCAGTAACTTTCCATTCGCTAAATCACAACAAATGAAAAACGTACTTTTTCGAACTCCTCCTAGGCAATTTGACCGATTTGCACCAAACCTTGCATGTAGCATCTGTGGACCCTCCTGACAAAAAGTTATCAAAATAATTTTGATCATCCAAAAAACGGCCAAAATATAAAACAACAAATTCCTGCACATTGTTTTCAAAACAGACAGTCTTTCATATATTGACCAAATACAGTCCAATTACCACAACACTTTTGCTGATTGTGTTCCATGGCCCGATGAGGGTTTGTGCAAAATTCAGTGCAAATCGGCCAATGGGTGGCGCTCTGGTGGCAGTCTAATTAGTGTGAATGGAAGTAAATTGGAAAATCTTCAAATCCTCTTCAAAACTCATCGACTTTCAACCTCTTCTTGTCCCTCATACTTTGAGCTAGAGACACCATGTCAACTTTCAAAGAGTCAGAAGACCTTGAACTATTGGGCATGTATTCAGCTTCTACTTTTTGGAAAAATACATACGTGGGTTGGGTGCCTACATGTATACTGGAAATGTAAGTAAGAGAAAACGTTTATTTTTTAATTTATTACAGCTGACAAGACTTCTAGGTGCACACCCCG